CTTTAGTTCACGCACCTTACTAAACTAAACACAATATCTTTAGTTCTCGCACCTTACTAAACTAAACACAATATCTTTAGTTCTCGCACCTTAGTAAACTAAACACAATATCCCTAGTTTGAATACAATGTTTCCTCCATATGCCCCCCAGTGGCACAGCGATATGTCTGCAGACTTATCACGCTAGAAACCAGGTTTCGATACCCGTGGTAGGAAGAGCTCAGATAGCCCATTTTGTAGTTTTGTGATTAACTACATATTGATTCCTCTATACAATAAAATCCTCGAAATAATTAACTCCTCTTTTCATAATTAGACGTACTAATGAACAGACCTCTTGTTTTAGGGACAATTTTTATACTTATTACGTATAGAAAAGCCCATTATATCACACGTTAGTAATTATTAAATCATGAAATTCTTACTCACCCCTGCAAAGACTGTAAGGCATGGTGCAACCACTTCCTTTACAAGACCTGCGGTGTACTGAAAAAATCAATAAAGTTGTACCTAAACCGTTCAAAACTCAACAGAGTTTTAGCTTAATATAATACTGTTGGTGCTAACGAACCCCGAAATAACAGGATTTAATTAAACGTTTCTTACATGCAAACCTAATTATACCAACGAAACTTGCAACTTGTGTTTCTGGGACCTGTTGGTGGCACAGATATTGATTCTTGAAACGAGTAATGTACAGAATTACCAGTGCTAATTGTGCACATGATTCCAGATACTATTAGTATTATAGTTCCAGACGTCACTAATATAAGCGTACAAAAACTGTTTACTTTTAGTGTTAATGGATTCAGCTTGTGATTTTAACATGTATGAAATGTAGTGGCTAATGTGACATAATGAAAGTTTCAATTGACATATCAGTAAAACTTCAAATATTTTCTTTTAGTTGAAAAAAAACAACAAAAAACGAAAGTGTTTTTCAGTCTAAAACTTACCGTTTCTATATCAGCAAAATACACTTCTTCATACATCACTGTCACCGAGGCTAAGCTTAAAAGTATGATGACAAACCAAATGATGCAACCTAGGAGGAATTTTCTTCCATGCTACATAGACAAAAAGGAGCATATCACCAGTTTCTCTCTCGCTCTCTATTATATATATATATATCTGTGTGTGTAGTACTGATATCACAGGCCTGCGAATTTGGACTTCATAAAAGTTGTTTTGGTTTTAATAACGGATTTTTCATAATTCAGCTACGCAGATTTCGAAAATAATATTAATTTTTTCTATCACATAAGGATATTTTACAAATCGAAAATAAAAACTCTTACTTAGATCAAATTAATATTTTGTTCATCACAATGAACATTTATTATTATTATGCTTGTTATGTTTGGGTTCTAGAACGATCAATAAGACGATTGGTCAATAAGACGTCGCGATTGGTATAGAGAAATCTGTAGCTAGTGGTTGTCAACATTTTAAGCATAACAAAATGTGACCCGATTTCAGTAAAAATTATTCACTTATGTAAAAGTACATATGACGTTTTGTGAAAAATCTGTACGTGATGGAGAGAAATGGATATCACTTTCAGATTCAGTGTACATGAATTACTGTAGAACATGTAAAAATTTCAAGACAATAAAACCATCGCAGACCTGTATATTTAATAAACAAGGAACACCAACTCCAGACAAGCCGATACAGTTATGTAAGTTTTTACTACCTGTTCAGGGCCGTAGGAGGCGGTAAGGCCAGTCAAGCCACGACCTGGCCACTTTTTCATGACATCACAACTTATGTATTAAACGTTGCTTCTTTTAACTCAATGCATTACATTGAGTGTATGTAGTATTTGTAGTTAAGATTCAATCTCAGAGCATTACATTTTCATACATTTTCTGGAGGGGCAAACCCCCCGAGAAATACCAATATGGTAATGGCCTTACCACCCAAAATTGCTTCCTACGGCAATGTTGTTTATTTTCTTGAGTGTAGGAGGCGATACATGAACAATTTACTGGCGTCAACAAGCATTACGAAAGGCTAAAGAAAAACTGGGACGTTGTTACTATTTGCTAGATCTGCGTGTGTTCATGTGCTATTATGAAGATAATTTGAAAATCTGTTTCAGTATTTATAAGTTATGAAAGGAACAAAAAAAATATTTTAACAAGTTTATATGGTAGAAAACTGATAACATTTTGAGACGTTTTACGAAAAAAAGAAGTCCCTATTCAACACATTTTCATTCATGCGTTTAGATATAATTATAGAACATTATTCGTGACATTTGTTTAACGTTTAGACATTTAGTCATTTTAGTAGCGCATAACGCATTGAGTATATTATATAGAAAAAATCAAGAGATTATGATGGAACCAACAGTTAGTATAAAGGTTGCAAGATATAAACCACAGATGTCTTATTGATAAATCATTATTTTCATTATATAGTCCTTTGATTTATATAAAACTTACAAACTTCAATTTATCTTATTGATAAATCATTATTTTCATTATATAGTCCTTTGATTTATATAAAACTTACAAACTTCAATTTATCTTATTGATAAATCATTATTTTGATTATATAGTCCTTTGATTTATATAAAACTTACAAACTTCAATTTGTCTTATTGATAAATCATTATTTTGATTATATAGTCCTTTGATTTATATAAAACTTACAAACTTCAAAACTGTTTCTAATGAGAAGACAAATCTATATAAATATAATAGTACTGTCTATTGTATGTCTATGTAACTACTTCGCAGGGTGTGGATGGTATGGTTCATTGGGACCATGGGGAGAAACATACAAATTTTCAGTTTTGTATTTTGCGTTTTGTAGTTTTCATGGGCGTTTTTGCAATTTTTTCCAATTACATATAAGGGAAGTAACTTTTCATGTTTTAAGATAACCTTTCATTATCGTGAATTTACATAACTTCCGTCCAGGGGACGGGTACTCCAGCTAGTATTTCAATAATGTAATGGAACTATATTGTCCTTTCACGCAAGTTTTATTTGAATATTGACGTTATTCTTGGAAACAGGTTAATATTATCTTTAAATATGTTACATTTATCTAACCCACTTTAATTTTGTTTGTTTGTAGGTCAGTACAAAACTATATAATGGGCTATCTGTGCTCTGCCCACCACGGGTATTGAAACCCAATTTCTAGCGGTATAAGTCCGCAGACATATCGCTGTGCCGATGGGGGAGGGCCATTTTTAATAAAAACGATACGCGTATACAGTTACAGTTCTACGCTAGATTTGTTTTTATAATAACAAAGGTGCCTGGAAATTTTATATTTCATTATATGACTAAAAAGAAAGTTAAAATGACGATAAAAAGTTAGAATGCTAGCATATTTATTGTCTTCTGAAACTACACGTTACCTGAAGAAGTGAAAACTGAGACCGCGAGAGCTGTGAACCCACGCTTTCGTTATCACTTTCATGCTTCAACATCGCAAAAGTCACTTTATATTATATATATTGTTACGACAGCGGAATTCACGTGACGCTGGTAATACGTAATGAGTATCTAGAACGTTCGTGAAGGCTCGAGTGTTCTCCAGACGCCCTCTATTTCGTATATATA